GGCTTTTTCTATTTGTTCACAGATTGAACAACAAAAACAATGCTGATTCTGAAAATACTTATTCTGCTATTTGAATAGTAATTTTAACACTAATGTATGGTGTGTCAAATGAATACCCCCCCCCCCCTGATATAAATGAATATGAAAGCGCGAGCAGTTCTTACCAAATGACGAATCACTGAAGCTAGTTGTTTCTACCATCTTCATATCAGATATGAGCTGATAACTTCTCGGGTATTTCAGAGTAATCAAAAACATTGACTTGTGTTTAGGCGAATCCAAACAAGGCGTGAAATATTTCGCATACCCAAACGAGGATCGAAATAGGAAGTTTCTAGAGTAGCTTCCATTTTCTGTACTTTCGAAAAGAATACGTTGCATTTTGTTAGCATCACCCAAGAATTTTCGACTATTTTGTAAAGGTAAGAAAGCGGGAGAAACGTTTTTATCAGTGCTATATTTATTTAAGGGTATTGTGTAATCAAATGTAATTGAAATAGTTTCATTCGGTAACAAACACTGATTTACCTCAACTACGAAAAAATTAAAATCAGGCACGAAAAACTGCGAAACAATTTTATAAAGGCGAACTGAGACTGTCGTAATATTTTGATTGCCGACATGTAAAATAATAAATTTTGTGGGCTGATAGACCCAAAGTGAAATGGTAGTTGTTCCTGGAATTAGATTTCTGTCGGGATCCAGGAGCAACGATATATTATAACGAACAGGCTGCAAGTTCGTCGGTGGTTCCTAAACGATACAAGGCCAATACAACTTTCCACGATTTTTTTTCTCTTCCGAAGTTTACAAAACTCAACATAATCCTCATTTTTGAGGGCTAAGATGAATCTTTTTTAAAGTCACAGGTGAACGAAGCTTTTGTCTCATCAACCAAGAGTCACAAATTTTTGGACTTGGTAAGATAGTTATTCTTAAAAGCAGTCCAAAATGTCTCATGAAAATCTCACAAGCTAAAGCTTAATTGATTGGAAAACAGTTGGGAAATTAGGATGCGAAAGTTCTAGAAGTTGGTATGATTAAAAAAAGGCTTTTTATGTGATAATAATGAATATCACATTAGCCTGAGAACAACGTCTCTTTGGATTTTTCCAATCTTTAAAAATTTAATCGTAAGAATTTATCCGTTCCTGGAGTTTCCATGGCTCGGGAGTGTTCCACGGGTGGCAGTTTGAGAGGGGGGAGACGGAAAGAGGCCGAGGAGGATGAAGACACTGATGCAAACAGAGACGAAGACGGCCAGCGAAAAGTAGAACACCCCGAATGTCCTCCGCTGTCCCCGCCGACGCCACTGCTTCTTCCAGTCGTCGTCCTAAGCACCGCAGACTACCCACAACTCAATTTAAGAGTTATAAAAGCCGAGATAGAAAAACTAAAAGCATGAGAAATTCAATGAAATTACTATCGATAAAAACGAATATGGAAACTGATTTGTAACTAGAATTTTGTGACCAGGACGGACGGATGGGAGGGGCTCTTAAAACGCTGCCCAAAAACAGCGCTGTATAGCTTTTTGGTAAGTTTTTTCTACCATAGGAAATAATTTTTTGGCGCGAACTCACCTCTCAAATTCAATGTATATTACGCCAAAGGCGCCTTTGAAAAAACGTTTTTAACCAAAATTGAGGGAGGGGGAGTTGCCATCATCATCCGCGAGCGCCCTGTCAGTGCGTTACTGCACGGGATGGATTTTGTTCCCGTTTATCCTTTCCTTTTTGTTAACTCAATCGAATGGATTTTTGAATTTTATTATGCATTCAAGAAGAAAAACACCTAAATTACCAAAATCGTTGACGTGAAAGCAATTTTTAAAAGTTTTTTGGGGCTCTCTTCGAACGGTTTTGACCACAAACTCTGTTTTAATGAAGTCCACTGAAATTTAAAAAAAGCTAGACAAGTTAATAAAAAACTCATTACCATTCTCAGGAGAGAATTTTCACCTCAGAAGTTAAGAATAAATTATTATTATTGATAGAATCTGTAATGAGGAAAATAGTGCCAATGACCCACCTGAATGTCATCGAAGGGTCCCTTCTCGTGCATCATCTTCAGTCTGCGAGTGTATGCAGTCAAGGGGGGCTCATCCTCCTCCGACTCCCCCTCCGCATCCAGATCTAGCAGCACTTTACGAGCCCACTTCACACCCCCAAACCACGATTTGAAACTCCCGTGGACCCCTTCAAAACACAAATCCTCTCCAAAACACTTCATAACAGGAGTTAATTTGCAATATATTTATGATTACTATGCGAAAATTATTGGCCCTATTGTATGTGTAACTTGTGCTCCTCGCAAATTGAATACTAATAGTAAATGCTGAGTCACCCTTCCCCCCCCCCCCCTCGCTCAAGGAGAGGGTTGATTAAATTCTCATACATCGAAGACCCAAGAATTGATCTAAGATTTGATGGATGTCACGACATATTTCAAGCATCATCTTTTAAACTGAAGTTATCCTGCCTTAATTCAACAGTGTTTGTTATGGTAATATAATTCAAAAAAAAACTTACTACATGCAATTTACCTGCAGATTTCTTCCTCTCCGAGCCGACAACTTTGACATCTGATTGTTCCACGGGGTCCTCTGGTATTCCCGTCTCAGTTCTGTTGGAATTCGAGGACTGGGTCGATGATTTTGAATCTTTGGATTCAATTTGTCGTTTGACTCTTGCCCACTCTCTGCGTTTCGTGTGCACACTGAAAGAACATTGCATAACAATCATTGCATAACGTTCATTGCATAACATTCATAGTGAATTTTAATGAAGATTGGCAAATAGAGGATGATTGATAAAAACTGATCCAAAATTTAAAAAAAAGCTGAAATAGCACTCTCTAAAACTCACTAAAAGTCACCAGCGGATTTAGGGGGGAGGGGACGGGGGGATGCCCTTTCTTTCCTCAGGAATTCGATCCCCTGCCGACCTAAAGCGTCCCCACTTTGTTCTATTTTGATATATCCATTTTTTGGCGACGGACTCATAAAAATTTTTCAAAAAGAGCCTTTGACGCCAATTTATACTAATTTTGAGGGGGAGCGCGCGCCGAAAAAAACTCAATTTTTTTGTCAAAATTTCACAAAAATTGCCTAAAAAAGACTTTTTTGGCCTGTTTTTTTTCAAAATTTTGCCTGGGGTGCAGGAAATTTGGTCAAAATGTCAAAATTTGGTCAAAAAGTGATTTAGGAGAGCTCAGAAAATCAATTTGGTCGACCTAAAAAAAAGTGGACAACCTTTTTTGAAACTCCGCCCCCGCCCTCGAGAAAATCCTAGATGCGCCCCTGCCAAAAGTCATAAATATGTACTTGGCCAAGTCCTCAATATGAACTTGAATAGTCCAGTAAACACTTCTCACTCGACTGCTCACTCGCCTAATTTCGAGCGTGTGAGCAGGCTAACATTAGCTCATTTATGCTAAATTTAAACCTTGAAAAATAAGTTTCACTCAAATGAAGTTAGTTTTTGGAGCTTTTAACTCCATATTAGGAATCAAAAACTTCCAAAATTCGGAAAAAAAAACTCGAAAAAAAATATTTGTTTTTGATTTTTTGTTTTTCTTGTTATTTGTCTTCAAAAATTGTTTTCTAATTAGCATATTTTACAATGACTGACGAAAATGCTTATGCGCTACTTTTTCGCCCAGATTCCTTCATCACACCACGCCAAAAAAGACACTTATTTGCAAAAAAAGTTGCTGTTATTTTTCAAGACTGGTCGGAACTTTCTGTTCTACTTGCACAGTAACCGGCTATCCTTGTTTGATTTTGAAATCGATGAAGAAAGAAGTGATGGTAGCTAAGTTTTGTTTTCGTAAAACTTATTAAAGTGAAGGTCACTTAAAATGAATTTTGTTAGAGAATAAAAGAGAAAACATTACCCCATTATCGGGGGCGTACAATATATACTAACTTTGAGGGGAGCGCGCGCCGAAAAACGCAATTTTTGACCTCTTTTTTTTTCAAAAATTTGCCTGCGGCGCTGAAATTTGGCCAGAACAGCGATTTTTTAGTGCTTCAGGAGAGATCGAAAATTAATTTGGTCGACCTAAAAAAAAGGTCGTCAAAATTTTCAAACATATTTTGAAAATCCGCCCCCCCCCCCCCGAGAGAGAATCCTAGATCCGCCCCTGGTAATTATACCAGCTAAGTTTAACCTGATCTTCTTTTGCTTTGGGCTCATCGTTTCGAGTCTCCGATTCGTCTTCGTTGGCGAATCAATCTCAGTCATCTCGTAAAGTCCTCTTGAGTCGCCAGTTTTGAGAATTGAGTGCGTCTTCGTTATTTCGTCTCGCGGTCGAATCGATTCGGAGAAATTGGGCCAAACTGGTTCGGCTCTCGATTCGTCAAGCGAAACTTGTTTCAGAACCCGACGGTTTTTTCGAACTGGATTTTTTTCGCTCATTTTCAGTTCTTTGTTGTGGAAACTTCTATTCGAATTGCTATTAGTTAAAATTGATGGTTAATTGTTGAAGTCAACGTGAATCTGTGAATAATTTATGCTAATCTGACTCGACAAAGTCTGCAGTATAATTTAATTAAGGTAAAATTTTTCCTTCAAAGAACCAATTTTAAAACACTTCCAATTTTATCAAGTTTGAACAAAAGCTTTTTCAGATTTGAATTATCTTTTTGCTAAGTGGGGGAATAAACATGAGGGCCCAGGACACTTTTTCTAATTGCTTGAAGCAAAAAAAAATATTTTTAAAGGTATTAAAAAGTGCGTCTGGTATTAGGGGAATAATCATTTAATGTTGAACAAAAGCGGACTGGTTCAAAGCGGTATTCGTAACTGTATTTAAAAGCGGTTCAGTTAAGACGCTGGTAAAAATAGGACGAGTTTGGAATCCACATCTATTCCAGATTATGGACTAAAATTTTGAAAGTATTATTGCACCGAGCTGAAAAGAAATGCGCATTAAAGCGTAGCTAATCGATTACAAAATAGTTTCAAAGAAAATGAAAATTAAAGCAAGGTTAAGAACATTGAAAAAAAAAAACGATGACGCAGTTTTACAAATTGGTATTTTGTATTTGCATGGATTTTTTTTTCAGCAAAAACAAACACTTCTTGTGGTCCTAGACGAACTATTTTGATTTGAAAAAAAATAGTAGGAAACTAGCATGAATGGAAATTGGTGCAAAATTGAAACAGTTTACATGAACAAAGCAAGCTGAATATTGCCATTTTTAGAAGCGCTTGGCTTCCAAGGAGCGGCAAAAACATCATTAAAATCTATTGTGCAAGTAATTGGAATGAGAAGAGATAAAAAATAAAAGTGAAATAACTGAGAATTACCGAGAATCAGAACTTCTTTGTTTTTTTTTTCTAATTTAAAAAGAAACGAACCACTCGCACTTTTTCGAACCAAATAAGAGTCGAAAAAAAAATATAAAAAGCAGAGAAAAGTTTGAAGCAGGCAAAGTAATTAAAACCACATCACGTGAAATATTAATCAGGGCTCTTTATGGCTTATTCGTTCCTCTGAGAGTTGGAGTTGAGACAAAGCAGAAACACCTTCTGAATACTAAATTAGCTTGACGAATAAATAATATTGAGCTCCATGAGTTGTTTTGCTACTAGTTGCAAGAAAATGTTTAAAATTCCGCGAATACCAGAGTACAAATTCTTATGCAATCATTGGGGCTCAAATAGCAGTTTTAATTCCGAAAAAGGGGTAAATTTGACAGGAAAATGAAAGCTTCATGACCAGGGACGGATCTAGAATTTTCTCGGGGCTTTTAAAAAATACTTTGAAGAATTTGTCAACCTTTTGTTAGGTCGTTAAAAAGATGTTACAGTATTCCTGAAATGTCATACAGACCTACTTCAGTCAAAAAATAAAAGCTGTGAGCTCAATTTGGAGAAAAATGGCGGAACAGAATGACTTTTTAGATATACTAACTACTTTTCGCCGTTTTCTCTTGAAAAAAAAAGAATTTTAGAAATTTAGCTGTTTTGAATTATCGTATTAAGAATTTTGAACGATGTTAATTGATTGGATTAAATTTGCTGCGGAACTCGTAAGTCAACTTATGTAAAGAAATTTTATTATCGATTATCGGATTAAATGTTATTATCGGGGATTGAACTGGTTCAAAAACTGATGAATTGAATGGTATGATTTTAAACTGCAAACCCCTCAAACCCTTGCTAACACCCTCAAAACCTCTATTTCTGTTCATTTTGAATTGTTTTTTTTTCATTTATAAAACTTTCTGAACAGAAAGAGACTATTCATTAACTAGAAATCGCCTTCAAAATTGTGAGAGGCCGAACTTTGCACTGGATAGGCGCACCGTTTGGTGTGTGTGGGTCATTGGAACTCAGAGACAAGTCTTTAAGCAATTCTTGAATTTTTTTGTGCAAATGATCAAAAAGAGTGTTTTTTGGGAATCCGCTGACAATTCACAAAATACACAGTTGGGCCTCGCCAGGAAAATAAGTATAAATGGGCAAAGAAAGCTCAAATTTTGCTGTCATTTTTTCAAAAATGAATATGGTAAAAGTTTCCAAGGACTTCTTGAGTGGCGAAGCATGCAACCCACATCCAGTTTCAAGGTTAATAATAAATTATAGTATGATTTTAGTGCATTGATTTTAAGAAAACATTGATTTTATTGAATTAATAATCGATTAAAATCTCTCTTTTTGAAATCAAGTATAATCAATTATAATCGATTATAATCTATTATTTTTTATCTAAAGTTCCAATTTATTTGTTTTGCCGAAACAATCCATTATAATCGATTATAAAGTTTTATATTCCCTTTTGTTTGCCCATTTTGTCTTCGACTTTCTGGCTGAATTGCTTATATTTTATGCTTTTCGTAGACGTTGGCTAATGTAAAAATGTGAAAGTTGTTTTAACAGTTTTCAAATTAATTCAAAATTATAGCGTTTTTTCTTTCTTTTTAATTATAGTTGTTTCATGATGCACATTTTAAATTTTTTTGACCACAAAAATATCAGCACACTGCTTTAGTTTCATGATTTATGTCGAAAAATTATGTTTCACCGAATATGAAAGTATCTCTATGAAACTTTTGTTTCGTGGTGAACTTTGTGTTCAGATGAGGTATCTCACTTTTAGAAAGTTGAAAGTTTTGACAAAAAAAGGATTATAATCTGTTATAATAGATTATATTTGATTATAACAGATTATAAGAGATTACAAGATATCATAAGAGATTATAAGAGATTTTCGAAAAATTTATACTCAATAATAATTGATTATAATTTAATATAATTTATCATAATGTCACGAAAAATGTTATCATTATGGTGGATTATAAATCAGTTAAACATCTAAATTTGGCTTATAAATAATTACAATATTGATAAAAGTAAAATTACAATTGTACTTTAATTGTTTATTTTCTTTTTTTTTACTGAGTGCGGGAAGTGATTCAGAGCTGGATTATTTTTCTTTAAACGCGTTTCTAATTTTGCTTCTGTTTGTTTGTTTCGACCAGAATAATTTTTAGTTGAGTTATTTTTTTTTCTCAAAAAGAAACCAGATTTTAAAGAAATTTAGTAATTTGATCAAATTGCAAACTCTTCTAAGAATTTTGAAAAGCTCAATAAGAAGATTGTGTATCTCTTCAAAAGATATATTAAGACTCAAACGAGTTCTTACCATAAAATTAAAATTTCAAGGAAGCTATTTTGATATCAAGATCTAAAATAGGCTGCTCGTATATAAGGGCCAAATCCTGATTTTCCGACTGAAATTTTAGGTCAATTAAAATATTTGTGTTTGAATAATTGACAAAATAAAAAAAAACTTTATTTTTTTCATCTAAGGACCTCGCACGTTATTAAGCGTGTAATAAGAGTGTATTAAGCGTCTCATGTTGTTAAAAAAAACTAAATTGTTCGCCTAACCTCAATTTGGAACGCATTAACTCGCCGCTCACGCCTGTTTTAAGAATGCATTATCTAATAGTGATAATGATAACTAGACTGCTCATATATCAGGGCAGACTGTTTTTTTATCAGGGCTTACTATTTTTTGACTGTCATCTATGCAATTTGGAATAATTTTGTTTTGCGGCATAATTCGCCACTCATAAATAATTCAACTAACGTTTTCAGGATTATGGATAAAATCCACAAAGTGCACATAAATTAGTCCAGAGCAGGGCCAAATTGATATTTTTCAAGTTCCCAAAACTTTGTGAAAAAAATCGGAGGAAAAAATTTTTCTATACTTGATTTTACGGAGTACATATCTTCAATAGGGCATAAAAAATTTTTATTTAAAAAATTATTTCGATCGCCGAAAATTGACTGAAAAAAAGCCAAAACAAACATAAATAATCCGTTTTCTTTGAAAGTCGTCGTTATTTCATCGATATTTCTATCTGCATGAACAATTAAATTTCTCCAAAAACTAAACTGCTGTAAATTTTAATACGAGTTGTAAATTTAACTGCTGTAAATTTTAAAATTTAAAACTTCAAACTGGAAAATTCAAACTAAGGTTTTGCGAATAAAAAAAGGAACAAACATTTAAAAAAATTAGCCCGCTGCTTTGTTTTTAGCACAATTTTCTTCAACTTTAGATGAATGTCAAAGCATTTTTTTGTTTGAGTTCGTTAGAATTATTGAATTTTTTATATTTTTTGTGCTGTGATGGAAGCTTGAACTGATACTGTTGATAAATTTATTATTCACTAAAACTAAACAGCCGAATTAAGTACATATTATATAGATTTTTTGAGAAAAACACAAAGTTTCGCTTCTTCAGCTGGTTTTTTTCGGCATTCTTGCAAGGTGAGAAAAATGATACCACTGTTACAGTTTTTCCACAAAATTTACTTAGCAGAGAAACAAACTTTAGTTTAAAAATTGTGGTTAGTGCTTGCTGTAACAGCGAATTTTTTTCAATATTGGTCATAAAAAACGCAACAATTTAGCTTTAAAGTTTTTTTTATGGTGATGCTCAAAATAGTTGCCAATTGAATACTTCTTGCACAGTAGGTGACTTTCAGGTTAGCTTACAGCTACTTCGAGGAGGATTTTTAGGACTATTTTTTCGTAATCAACAATTTTGCTTTAAAGTTTTTTTTCCTGGTGATGCTCAAAATAGTTGCCAATTGAATACTTCTTGCACAGTAGGTGACTTTCAGGTTAGCTTACAGCTACTTTGGGGAGGATTTTTAGGACTCTTTTTTTGTAATCAACTATAAAGAAAATGAAGCTATCTGACAAATTGCTCTATAAGATATCTAGCTATGATTTTTTCTCGAGAATCATTTCAGGAAAGTAAGCAAAGTTGAGCTGAAGATATTTAAATAAAAAACTATGAATTTTGTTGAAAGTCTTCAACGAAATCTAGAAACAACAGTTCATTATTTTAAGATAATAAGAAAAAAAGTTGCAATATTTTATTTTCAAAGATTTTGACATAGATATCAAGATGAAATGAAAAAAAACGTATCGCGCGTTATTTACCTCAAATTGAGCAAATGGCCACTTTTCAAACCATCATAATTACAAAAAAAAGATCTCATACGTCTCGCATACCAAGCGTCTCGTATCCTAGGTAAGACACCAAATGACCAGCCCAAATTCAGATTCTATTTAAATTATCCGCTGCCTACGCTTGTTATAAGAAATCAACCGTTGTAATAAATCCGTGTCTGGACATTTGTTCCCAGACATTAATGTCCGGAAAACGCTTTGAACCCGAGAATTTAATTTCCGACTTTTCGATTTTCAATCTAGTGAATGCACCGCTCGGCCAAACGCGCTTTTAATGTTCAATTGCTTTTTGAAAGCGTTGTCTCGCTTTGACAGTTCAGTTCTATGGATAATTGGTACTCATAGAGTCTAATTATAGAACGATCGAACAGCCGCACAAAAACAAAGATCACAAGGTGAAATAAAACTAATTATCATTGCAAAATACCTTCGAACAATTTTATCTGGGATGAAAAACGAGTGAATTTAACGAGGAATTTTGTACGAAAAATGAGGAATTTTGTACGAAAAACCAGTGGTTGTAGGTGAAATATT